AAATATTTTAAAGGGCCACTCCACTAATTTTGCACATGAAGTTCAGTTTACTCGTCATGAAGTGTCCTACTTAGCCTGTGAATACAGCTGTATGATGTTTCACTGGCTCTGAAGAGCGCTTTCCAATGTAAAAAAAAAACCCCAACTCTGATGACATCCTAAGCTTGGTTTGAGCTTGAGATTAAAACTTTTTATTAAAAAGCCAGTATTACAAAATCACCTACACCCCTAAACTATAATTAGGAGGCAGGTGAGGTCTAATAAAATACTTGTCTTGTCTTTTCTGGAGCTTGACCCATGCTGAGGACTTCTTTTTTTGTTTTATTTCAAATGAATCGCTCAACGTCATAGAAGTGCACCTTCTAATTAAACATAAAGGTTCAACATTTTACAAAATATGCTTATTTGCCTGATGGCAGAGAGTTAGAGAAGTTAAGAAGAGAGATACCACTCTTATGTCTGTCCTTTAACTATAAGGCTCCAGGTTACAGCTAGTTAGCTTAGCACAAAGACTAGAAACAGAGGGAAATAGCTTGTTTGTCATGTTATGTTGCTGGACACGTGGAGGCCACCACACCAACACCGATCTGAAGAAGCTCTGATAAGATGTCTCTGATAAGTGACACAAGACAGATGTGAAAAGAGGCAAAAGCACCCCAAGCTGCACACCCAACCGGGATACTCACCAGTAGCGTAACAGGTGGGACACCATTCTCTACCTGCCAGCATCGTGTTGCAGCACTCACACAGCGAAACAGTACACCACATTTTTGTCAACTCCGTGACAAACATGACACCTGATGAAGTAACCTGAAGGATTGAAATGGGACAGAGACAATTTAAAGGAATACCTTTAAAGGGGAGGGGAGCCGGAGGCACAGAGAGGGACAGGAAAAGACTGAACAAACTGGTAAGGAGGACTAGCTGTGACTTGGACTGCCCTCTTGATTCCATAGAGGAGGTGAGCGAGAGGAGGATGTTAGCCAAGCTGACGTTAATCATGGACAATACTTCTCGCGCCCTTCATGAGACTGTGGGACCTAAATCAGCTCCTTCAGAAACAGACTGCAACACCCACAGTGCATACAAGAGCTCTACCACCAGTCCTTTATTGCACCAGCAGTCAGACTTTTTAACATGACAGTACATTATGTGACACTGTTGTAACATGTAACTTGTCTCTGCCTCTATCACCCACCACTTACAACACGGCAGCTAATTTGAACTATTTCCACCTCAGGTTATATATGCAAATTCTATTTATTCATATTCACATTTACACGTCCACGTTCTTTATTTCTATATAGTGTAAAATGCCTGTGTAATTTCCTACTGTGGAATATTTACCACTTACTCTGCAATAATATTTATAGGCTGTATACCAAGTGTATTTCAGTTATCTTGTGCAACTGTACAAAAACATACAAAATCATACAAAATCTGTATAAGTAAAAGTTGTATCTAGTGTATATAGATTTTTTTATTATCTTTATAAAAATTTTATCTAACTTGCATTTTTGTAATATTTTATCCTTTGTTAGCACTCTGTCTCTTTTTTCTTTTCTCTTGCTTCTGACTCTTGAGCTGCTGTAAATGGTCTACACCTGTATAGCACCTTTCTAGTCTTCCAACCACTCAAAGCGCTTTTACACTATGTCACTACGTCGAAGTGACATCTTGGGGTTAAGTATCTTGCCCAAGGATACTTTGACCTGCTTTACTCTGCTGTAACATTTGAATTTCCCTGGTGTGGGATTAATATAGTCTTATCTTATCTTATCTCTAATCTTCACCCCCAAAATGATCATTTGTGTATCATTTCACCCTGTATTAAGTTGAATTCCTGAAGAAAAGGTTTTTCTCACATGCCTCCACGTTGAATGAAGAATCCAAAAAGAAAGCTCTTGACTTTCTCTGTGACTTGTAGTAAATGAGGTCCGGGTTTAACAACAGCAGAACTATATGAAAACATCTGATTGCAAACACTCAGCCACCTCGCCCAGTATAAGTTCCCAAATGCATGCATATTTTGCAAAAGTCGAAATATAGAACATGTGCATTCCATTGAACATCTCCCCTCCCAACTCATTCATTGGCCAGGAGTTCTGCTGTCACTTACCTGTGTCTGTTGTTTTCTGGCCAGTTAAAGAGCTGGGAGGCAGGATTTCAATCGAATGCATGAGCAGAGTTCAAACACAGGCTTGCATTGAAGTGCTATTCATCTATGCATTATATTGTTGATCATACAACCTAGTCTCACTCCAAAGTTGTCAAAATCTGATGCTTAGGCAGTGACTTCCAGCGTCAGACACTGATGAAAAAAGCTGTCCTTTTACGTAGACATGATTCACAGCCGGTCGGAGTTATGGTTGTACGCCACTCTGCAGCGTCAATGGGAAACACAGCGAGACAAAACAAAAGTTACAGTGACAAAAGTCCAAACAGGGTGGGTGGGAGTAGTGGTGGATGGGTCCTACAACCACTGACTGGGAGGGTGGTGTTCACTTTATGAAAGATTGTAAAGCCGAACCCTGTTCTTTTTTCCTAAACCCAACCACGTGTTTTTGTTGCCGAAACCCAACCACACGTGTGTTGGCAGAACGTAACCACCTGCATTTGTTGTTGAAGGGGAAAAAAAAGGTCAGTTTGCGGTGTTGTACCAACATAGTGCATTTATTTTGAAAGACACAGTATGTAAACATTAAATTTCCTGTGAAATATGGTGTATAATATGGTGTATATTAAAAAGAGACACCGCATGTAACAGGCAACATGTAACTGTTGCTATACAACAGGGCTATTCAACTATGTTGTTCACCAGGGCACATTTTCAGAAAGCTAAGGGCCCAGGGGCCTGACATTTCCCTGAGCTATTATTCTCACAATGTTTGTGCACTTGACACAAAGCACCACCACATTTTCACAACTTTAACTCTGCTAAAGTGGGTCTTTGAACAGAAAATCCCGCACACTGCTCTTCAGCCCTCATGGACGTTCATCAAGAGGACCGACACATTAGTGTTGCTAATAAATTGTGAAGCTGAACAAGAGCAGTGTGCAGGATTTTCTGTTCAAAGCCTCAAGTGATATTGTCCAACACACCTGCATCTAAGACAGATGGATGTGCAAATACCTTTCTTCAAACTTTGCTAAATTGCTAAAAAAGTCTAATCATAAACCAACCAAGAATACGTCTTCTTAAGTAGACAAAGTTTGAAAGATTAATTGCGACCAAAGTTGTTGGTTTTTTTTGCATGGGTTTTAAATTTTATTTGTTTGTACACAGAACCCCATTCCACAACTTAACATCAGTAGTACTGAAAACATGAATGAATGATCCTTGATTGAGGTATCATAATTAAATTGACATTAATATATTCACAACCCCATTAACCCTTTAAAGAAGGTTTTACACTACCACCAAGTGCCCTGTAATGCCTAAAGAACATATCACATAGCTTAAAGATTTCAATATTGTTTTACAGTGGTATGATTCACCAAGTAGTAAACACACTGACGAGCCAGATTATTAGGTTCCCTTGACTTAATCAATTTAGCTAGACCAAAAAGTATAAACACCCATGTGTGTAACACAGTACAGATCGACAATGCAATAAAACAACAGCCTCCAACATAACCATCAGTGAAAACTGAATGTTCCTTTACAAAGACCTACTGTGGTAGAGTGATAGTAATGGATGGTATTATCAATTTTACCGTGGTACTGTCCATTGTAAAGGTTGTGTTTCATGGTTCCAGCTCTGATACAAAATGTTATACATGTAATATGTAATATTCCTCATTTCAAGCTTTTTGTTTGCATATTTTTTTCAGTTTTCGAGTGTTGGTTGAGCAAAACATGTACTTTATTTATTATTATAGGATCAATAGAGCATGTAGTTTATTTTCCAAAGCCAAAAGCACATTTTTAAATGTATCTCACCCCCACACTAACATGTAAGCACTCAGTTGACCCCAAGTTAAAATGTTAAACTGAGCCCCAGGATCATGATGCTAAGGCAAACAAGAAAAGACTGAGCAGCTCTGGTAGACAAAGACTCAACAGCTGCTACTGTTGGACGCTGTGGACTATTGGTGGTTGTAGTTGTAGTTGTCTTGGTTGTGGGAGTGTTTGTAGTTGTGGGAGTGTTTGTGGTTGTAGCGACAGTCCGGACGCTGTAGAAACATGTGGCTACATTACCCACCTGATCCACAACCACCAGCTCCACATCAGGCGAACAGCAAGATGCATTGTAGGAAACCAGGGTTATGTTCTCATTGTCAGTGGCCAAGCTGGTGTTCAAAGTCCCGTTGCCTTGTCTGAGGGTAATACGGTCGACACCCGTCCCATTAGCACCATCAGTCACCTGAACAGAGAGCTCCCACATTGATAACACACAGTTATCAGAGCAGTTGGACTGCAGGCTGAGCAGCTCACACACCGGCTTAGTGATATCAGTCACCTATGAGGAGCAAAAGAAGGTAAAAGTCAGCTGGTTTTAGCAGAAGATACACTTCATTCATCCCCGAGGGGAAATTCAGTTTTTTCACTCTGCTGTCATATACACACAGGCCTGAAATACACACACACATGCACACACACCTATCCACCTTATTCCTAGCCCCATGATCCCTTGGGCGAAATATGTGTGCGACTTCCGGCGTTGAACCGAAAACCGGCGATTTCCAATGGTAACAGTTTGTTTACAGTACTCTATTCTTCTTTCCAAGATCAATTGGGAAATAAAACATGGAACACACCACCTGTTATAGGTCGAACGGCATTATGTGATAATACCTCTGTCATCACTGACAGTGATCTCAAAGCATTGTTTTTTTTTTCCCTTTTCAACTGAGCATGCTAGCAATTAGCTCGCCTTGCACGTTAAAATATTAACTTTAACATTGCCCGAGCTAGCTTAAGGTGAACTTCTGCTCCTTCTAAAGATGAATTATGATTTATAATGACTTATTAAGAGATACTAACACATAAATCAATATTAACTGTAGTTCTTCTGGTTTCCTTGGGGCCCGCCTGGCCCGCTGTCCATGGGCGCTGGGGGCCTCGCGGTGCCGGGGTCTGGTTGGCGCCACCTCCTAGCCCCTCCCATCCATCTCTCCAGCCCTCGGGCCGGGCCTACACTGGCCTGGCCTCCTAAACCACATTTAGTTCACTCACCACACATTGCACAGTTTTAATGCACCACATACACTCACTCTTCGAGGTGCAGACCACGGATGGATTGGGGGGCTTCATAATGGGGCAGGCTATGGGACAGTGGTGTCCGGTAGCCCTCCATGCTGCCCCCCAGCCCATCCTTATCTGTTCTCCAATTTTAAAGCACCACATACACCTACATCTTGGGGGACAGATGGGAACAGGTTCCAGGTGCCTTATGGCTGCACGGGCTGCAGGACAGCAGTGTGCTGTAGCCATCAGCCTTGCCCCCACCTGTCTCCTATGTCCCTCAATTTTAATGCACCACATCACACTTATGGGCACTCACATTCACATTCNAAAAAAAATCGTTGGTGTTGTCATCCATTTGGTAACACAGTCAAACACAGACAGAGGTCACATCATACTATATCTTTACCTGCTATGGTACCAATGCTGCTGCCTGATTTGATCAGATTGAAGTTTGGGGATTTGTTGCCCAGTTCCACATAGTTACTATGACTGTAGAAGTCCTTCACATGGACAAAAAAGAGGATGGGGTTAATATTCCCTTGAATTTACAACAGTTAAAAACAGCCTTATTAAAGCTTTCACAATTAATGAGAAGTACCTGTAAAGGATGTAAAATCTCTCCCAATTTCTGCCTCGCCGCCTCATAGTTTTCATGCGTGTTGCTTGCTTTGACAACCTTTAATCCCTCAGTGATGATTTTCTTTCCCTGATCAAACATTTCTTCATCAAAGTGGAAGCTTGCATTGAGGGCATGACGGAGGTCCACCCGCACATTCATCAGTGTGATGAATATAATGGCTCGGCGGAAACTCTTGGACGACTTTGGAGCACCACAGGCCACAGCAACAGCCCCTGCAGTGAGAGGCTGTGCCTGAACACACAGACAAGTCAGATCATACATTACTGAAAGACAGATGCAAAATTCTGGTGAAACATCTTAACTGAAGTGAATTCTTACAGGAAAAGTAAAGTCTGTCCCCTCAGCTTGGGCCAGAGCGCGGCACACATGCGCCGTGACATTTAAAATCGCGCTCTCGGTGATTTCCAGATGATTCAGAGACTTTCCTGGCAATATCCCAAAGCCCTGTGCCCCAGTGTGCAGGAGGAGGAGGAGACACAACACAGCCAACCCTGAAGACGTCATTCTTCAACCTGTCGAATGATATGAGGAGGATGCAAACACATTTATTTAACCCCAATTTCCATGTATCAGTTATCAGGCCCTTAATTTATCCTAAACAATTTTCTAAAGTCAACTAAGAATATGATGATGAGCAAAAATGCTACAGGCAAGTGGGTGTCAATGTTTTTATGTTTTCAATTTGTTTGCAGCTGAGAGCGTTGGGTTTAAATGAACTGTTGTCAGAAAGAAAATAGATTTTTATCATGATCAAACAATCATAAAATCACCTGTAAGCATTTTACTAATACACTATAATACCAGCAGTGCAGTAGACCATGATTCTGACACCTCACTAAGAATCTTCCTTATAGGATTTCCCATCTTACTCTGACCTCAGTTCCCTCCATATGCTCACAATAACAGATTTTTATTAAGTATCCCGTTTAATTGACCTTCAAATCTCAGATCAAAGCATGAGCACTTTATAAAAAGTCATTATTTCTGCCTAAAAATTCACTTGGAACTCACACTTGAATGTTAACTATTTATTCAAACTATGCTGCACAGGTTGAGTGAATAGTTCAATGTCAACTAAATCATTCAGAGAATATGTATGCTCATGAATTGTTACGTATACTATATAGATAATCTGTTAACATGTACAGAACAAAACAGTTAGACTGTTAAATCTCAACTAATAAACTGGAGAAATGGTACAACTACTCTATAAACCATCTGTAGGCAGACTTTCCAAATAACGTGCTACCAGATTGTCCTCTTGTGTTACAGTACATGGTATTTCTAGACCAGAAAACATAGATCTGATGCCGTCTTTATATATAAATGTGAGATAAAAGAGCACTGTACCTTAGCCGTTGAAGCTGTCCCATACACTTTATTGTTATTGTGTCAACACCCGCTTCACAGAGCTTCACAGCGAGGGTGGGGTTGTGCGTGACTCGTTCTACCTGTTGCTTAGGTGTGTTTGATAATGAAGGCACTACCAAAACTGATGCCATAAAACCACTTATGATCTTTCACATTAAGCATTAGCATATGTATTTTTTAAAAACATTTTAAGACAAAAGTCCGTGTTTAGCTAAAATGTGTAATAATCTATATGAAGTTTGGTAAGTATGACTTCCAGATCTTGTCTTTATCGGAATCACTGGCTGAACAGTAATTTTAAACATCTAAAATAATATTAATCATAATAATAATAAATACTCCATGTAATCCCAGATACAGTTTGTCAATTAATACAATTAATGATGAGTAAAACGATTTGTTTGCACAGGTCTCTTTCCAGTAAGGTTTGCGTGTGCTGCGTGCACAGATGCAAAACATGTTTTGTGTGGGAGTGACCCATACAAAACTTAGAGATTGTTGACATGCCTTCTAGATTACATATCCTGCATTCTTCTTAATGTGAGAAACAAAAAATGGATTGGTAAGAGTTAAAAGTAAAACTAAACCACACACTGACACTAATCAAGGCAAACACTGCAGGCAGGTACGGCGCAGATGTAAATTGGGTAGTTCTTTTAAGGTTACTGTTGAAAGACGCAAACCAGAGTCTGTGTTATCGTCATGATCAGGGTGAGAGCACAGCTGCTTGATGGTGACACCTGCCCTCTGTAACCACAGGTAGACTGACAGTCTCTCATATTTGTGATTCTACACATAGTAAAAACATGACTGATACGCTCACTGAGCACACACAACAGTGCTTTCTTTCCAAAGCAGCTATCTTAACTTGCATTAACAATGCAGCTCAGTTGACTGTGAGGTTTCAGCACGGACATCTCAGTGGTGTAGGATGTCATCTGCAAAAGGCTGGGGGTGGGGGTGGAGCTCATGTCTTGTTCATTATGCCATTTCTTAGATGATTTTAATGACAAGTTGATTTTGTGCTGCTTTCTGAAATAAATGCAGAGGAATTTATTGTGAGCAGTTCACACTGATAAATATTTTAAAGGGCCACTCCACTAATTTTGCACATGAAGTTCAGTTTACTCGTCATGAAGTGTCCTACTTAGCCTGTGAATACAGCTGTATGATGTTTCACTGGCTCTGAAGAGCGCTTTCCAATGTAAAAAAAAAACCCCAACTCTGATGACATCCTAAGCTTGGTTTGAGCTTGAGATTAAAACTTTTTATTAAAAAGCCAGTATTACAAAATCACCTACACCCCTAAACTATAATTAGGAGGCAGGTGAGGTCTAATAAAATACTTGTCTTGTCTTTTCTGGAGCTTGACCCATGCTGAGGACTTCTTTTTTTGTTTTATTTCAAATGAATCGCTCAACGTCATAGAAGTGCACCTTCTAATTAAACATAAAGGTTCAACATTTTACAAAATATGCTTATTTGCCTGATGGCAGAGAGTTAGAGAAGTTAAGAAGAGAGATACCACTCTTATGTCTGTCCTTTAACTATAAGGCTCCAGGTTACAGCTAGTTAGCTTAGCACAAAGACTAGAAACAGAGGGAAATAGCTTGTTTGTCATGTTATGTTGCTGGACACGTGGAGGCCACCACACCAACACCGATCTGAAGAAGCTCTGATAAGATGTCTCTGATAAGTGACACAAGACAGATGTGAAAAGAGGCAAAAGCACCCCAAGCTGCACACCCAACCGGGATACTCACCAGTAGCGTAACAGGTGGGACACCATTCTCTACCTGCCAGCATCGTGTTGCAGCACTCACACAGCGAAACAGTACACCACATTTTTGTCAACTCCGTGACAAACATGACACCTGATGAAGTAACCTGAAGGATTGAAATGGGACAGAGACAATTTAAAGGAATACCTTTAAAGGGGAGGGGAGCCGGAGGCACAGAGAGGGACAGGAAAAGACTGAACAAACTGGTAAGGAGGACTAGCTGTGACTTGGACTGCCCTCTTGATTCCATAGAGGAGGTGAGCGAGAGGAGGATGTTAGCCAAGCTGACGTTAATCATGGACAATACTTCTCGCGCCCTTCATGAGACTGTGGGACCTAAATCAGCTCCTTCAGAAACAGACTGCAACACCCACAGTGCATACAAGAGCTCTACCACCAGTCCTTTATTGCACCAGCAGTCAGACTTTTTAACATGACAGTACATTATGTGACACTGTTGTAACATGTAACTTGTCTCTGCCTCTATCACCCACCACTTACAACACGGCAGCTAATTTGAACTATTTCCACCTCAGGTTATATATGCAAATTCTATTTATTCATATTCACATTTACACGTCCACGTTCTTTATTTCTATATAGTGTAAAATGCCTGTGTAATTTCCTACTGTGGAATATTTACCACTTACTCTGCAATAATATTTATAGGCTGTATACCAAGTGTATTTCAGTTATCTTGTGCAACTGTACAAAAACATACAAAATCATACAAAATCTGTATAAGTAAAAGTTGTATCTAGTGTATATAGATTTTTTTATTATCTTTATAAAAATTTTATCTAACTTGCATTTTTGTAATATTTTATCCTTTGTTAGCACTCTGTCTCTTTTTTCTTTTCTCTTGCTTCTGACTCTTGAGCTGCTGTAAATGGTCTACACCTGTATAGCACCTTTCTAGTCTTCCAACCACTCAAAGCGCTTTTACACTATGTCACTACGTCGAAGTGACATCTTGGGGTTAAGTATCTTGCCCAAGGATACTTTGACCTGCTTTACTCTGCTGTAACATTTGAATTTCCCTGGTGTGGGATTAATATAGTCTTATCTTATCTTATCTCTAATCTTCACCCCCAAAATGATCATTTGTGTATCATTTCACCCTGTATTAAGTTGAATTCCTGAAGAAAAGGTTTTTCTCACATGCCTCCACGTTGAATGAAGAATCCAAAAAGAAAGCTCTTGACTTTCTCTGTGACTTGTAGTAAATGAGGTCCGGGTTTAACAACAGCAGAACTATATGAAAACATCTGATTGCAAACACTCAGCCACCTCGCCCAGTATAAGTTCCCAAATGCATGCATATTTTGCAAAAGTCGAAATATAGAACATGTGCATTCCATTGAACATCTCCCCTCCCAACTCATTCATTGGCCAGGAGTTCTGCTGTCACTTACCTGTGTCTGTTGTTTTCTGGCCAGTTAAAGAGCTGGGAGGCAGGATTTCAATCGAATGCATGAGCAGAGTTCAAACACAGGCTTGCATTGAAGTGCTATTCATCTATGCATTATATTGTTGATCATACAACCTAGTCTCACTCCAAAGTTGTCAAAATCTGATGCTTAGGCAGTGACTTCCAGCGTCAGACACTGATGAAAAAAGCTGTCCTTTTACGTAGACATGATTCACAGCCGGTCGGAGTTATGGTTGTACGCCACTCTGCAGCGTCAATGGGAAACACAGCGAGACAAAACAAAAGTTACAGTGACAAAAGTCCAAACAGGGTGGGTGGGAGTAGTGGTGGATGGGTCCTACAACCACTGACTGGGAGGGTGGTGTTCACTTTATGAAAGATTGTAAAGCCGAACCCTGTTCTTTTTTCCTAAACCCAACCACGTGTTTTTGTTGCCGAAACCCAACCACACGTGTGTTGGCAGAACGTAACCACCTGCATTTGTTGTTGAAGGGGAAAAAAAAGGTCAGTTTGCGGTGTTGTACCAACATAGTGCATTTATTTTGAAAGACACAGTATGTAAACATTAAATTTCCTGTGAAATATGGTGTATAATATGGTGTATATTAAAAAGAGACACCGCATGTAACAGGCAACATGTAACTGTTGCTATACAACAGGGCTATTCAACTATGTTGTTCACCAGGGCACATTTTCAGAAAGCTAAGGGCCCAGGGGCCTGACATTTCCCTGAGCTATTATTCTCACAATGTTTGTGCACTTGACACAAAGCACCACCACATTTTCACAACTTTAACTCTGCTAAAGTGGGTCTTTGAACAGAAAATCCCGCACACTGCTCTTCAGCCCTCATGGACGTTCATCAAGAGGACCGACACATTAGTGTTGCTAATAAATTGTGAAGCTGAACAAGAGCAGTGTGCAGGATTTTCTGTTCAAAGCCTCAAGTGATATTGTCCAACACACCTGCATCTAAGACAGATGGATGTGCAAATACCTTTCTTCAAACTTTGCTAAATTGCTAAAAAAGTCTAATCATAAACCAACCAAGAATACGTCTTCTTAAGTAGACAAAGTTTGAAAGATTAATTGCGACCAAAGTTGTTGGTTTTTTTTGCATGGGTTTTAAATTTTATTTGTTTGTACACAGAACCCCATTCCACAACTTAACATCAGTAGTACTGAAAACATGAATGAATGATCCTTGATTGAGGTATCATAATTAAATTGACATTAATATATTCACAACCCCATTAACCCTTTAAAGAAGGTTTTACACTACCACCAAGTGCCCTGTAATGCCTAAAGAACATATCACATAGCTTAAAGATTTCAATATTGTTTTACAGTGGTATGATTCACCAAGTAGTAAACACACTGACGAGCCAGATTATTAGGTTCCCTTGACTTAATCAATTTAGCTAGACCAAAAAGTATAAACACCCATGTGTGTAACACAGTACAGATCGACAATGCAATAAAACAACAGCCTCCAACATAACCATCAGTGAAAACTGAATGTTCCTTTACAAAGACCTACTGTGGTAGAGTGATAGTAATGGATGGTATTATCAATTTTACCGTGGTACTGTCCATTGTAAAGGTTGTGTTTCATGGTTCCAGCTCTGATACAAAATGTTATACATGTAATATGTAATATTCCTCATTTCAAGCTTTTTGTTTGCATATTTTTTTCAGTTTTCGAGTGTTGGTTGAGCAAAACATGTACTTTATTTATTATTATAGGATCAATAGAGCATGTAGTTTATTTTCCAAAGCCAAAAGCACATTTTTAAATGTATCTCACCCCCACACTAACATGTAAGCACTCAGTTGACCCCAAGTTAAAATGTTAAACTGAGCCCCAGGAACATGATGCTAAGGCAAACAAGAAAAGACTGAGCAACTCTGATAGACAAAGACTCAACAGCTGCTACTGTTGGAAGCTGTGGACTATTGGTGGATGTAGCAAAGGTCACAGCTTGTGAGCTGGTGGCGGCAGTTTTCCGGACGCTGTAAAAACATGTGGCTACAT